GCCACGCTTTTTGCGACTTGCTTATCTTCAAAAACGCCGATTCACGCACAGGGCCACGCTTTTTACGACTTTCTCTTCCCCTGCCACACGCGCGCGCATTGTTTCTCGATCCATCTCTCTCTCTCTTTCTCTCTTTCTTTCTCTCTCTCTCTCTCCATCTATCTCTCGTGTATCTATCTATCTCTCTACCTATCTATCTATCTATCTATCTATCTATCTTTTTCTCTCTCTATCTTTCTATCTTTCTATCTATCTATCTCTCTCTCTCTCTATCTCTCTATCTCTCCATCTCTCTATCTATCTATCTATCCATCTATCTCTCTAACTATCTACTTTCTATCTAATCTATCTATCTATCTATCTATCTATCCATCTATCTATCGATCTCTCTTTCTACCTATCTAGCTATCTATCTCTCTGATCTTTCTCTATCTATCTATCTATCTTGCCGTCTATCTGTCTATGCATCTGTCTGTCTCTCTCTGCTTATCTATCTAGTCTGTCTGTCTATCTATCTATCTATCTATCTATCTATCTATCTATCGAGCTGTACCTAAACCAGCGAAAGTGCTGCGCCTGCCACAAAATCTGTACTTCACCTTGCGAAAGTGATGCGCCTGCCACTAATTTGGCACTTGACCTTGCGAAAGCTCTGCGCCTGCCATGAAATCTGTACTTGACCTTTTAAAAGTGCTGCGCCTGCCACGAAATCTGCACCTGAGCAATCGAAAGTGCTGCGCCTGCCACGCAATTCAAACGTTGAGAAAAGTTGACCTTTCGAAAGTGCTGCGCCTGCCACGAAATCTGCACCCGACCTCACCAAAATGCTGCGCCTGCCACGCAATGCAAACCTTGCGAAACCTCTGCGTTGCCGTGCCAATGAGCCCGGCGCCGCTCCGAGCCCGCTCCGAGCCCGCTCCGAGCCCGCTCCGAGACCGCTCCGACCAGACGCCGCGGACAGGCATCTCCGGAGACGCCGACTCGCGCACAGGGCCACGCTTTTTGCGACTTTCTCATCTTCGAAATTGCGAGAGTGACGCGCCTGCCACGAATTTGGCACTTGACCTTGCGAAAGTGCTGCGCCTGCCATGATATCTGCACTTGACCTGAAATCTGCACCTGAGCTATCGAAAGTGCTGCGCCTGCCACGCAATTCAAGCCTAGGGAAAACTTGACCTTGCGAAAGTGCTGCGCCTGCCACGAAATCTGCACCCGACCTCACCAAAATGCTGCGCCTGCCACGCAATTCAAACGTTGAGAAAAGTTGACCTTGCGAAAGTGCTGCGCCTGCCATGAAATCTGCACCCGACCTCACCAAAATGCTGTGCCTGCCACGCAATTCAATCCTTGCGAAACCTCTGCGTTGCCGTGCCAATGAGCCCGGCGCCGCTCCGAGCCCGCTCCGAGCCCGCTCCGAGCCCGCTCCGAGACCGCTCCGACCAGACGCCGCGGACAGGCTAGCATCTCCGGAGACGCCGACTCGCGCACAGGGCCACGCTTTTTGCGACTTTCTCATCTTCGAAATTGCGAGAGTGACGCGCCTGCCACGAATTTGGCACTTGACCTTGCGAAAGTGCTGCGCCTGCCATGATATCTGCACTTGACCTGAAATCTGCACCTGAGCTATCGAAAGTGCTGCGCCTGCCACGCAATTCAAGCCTAGGGAAAACTTGACCTTGCGAAAGTGCTGCACCTGCCACGAAATCTGCGCCCGACCTCACCAAAATGCTGCGCCTGCCACGCGGACAGGCTAGCTTTCGCATCTCCGGAGACGCCGATTCGCGCACAGGGCGACGCTTTTTGCGACTTTCTCATCTTCGAAAATGCCGATTCACGCACAGGGCCACGCTTTTTGCGACTTTCTCTTCCCCTGCCACACGCGCGCGCATTTTTTTCTCGCGGGCTTATTCCTTCTCTTGTCATTTGTCTCAGAGAGCTAGCTTTCAATTAGTTGCCATATCACGGAAGTTCCTTCTAAACTTCCTTTGACAAACAACACCAACACCAACACCAACGCCAACGCAACCACCATCACCACCACCAGCACCATCAGCAACAACAACAACCACAACCACAACCACAACCACAACCACAACCACAACAACAACAACAACAACAACAACAACAACAACAACAACAACAACAACAACAACAACAACAACACCAACAACAACAACAACAACAACAACAACAACAACAACAACAACAACAACAACAACAACAACAACAACAACAACAACAACAACAACAACAACAACAACAACAACAACAACAACAACAACAACAACAACAACAACAACAACAACAACAACAACAACAACAACAACAACAACAACAACAACAACAACAACAACAACAACAACAACAACAACAACAACAACAACAACAACAACAACAACAACAACAACAACAACAACAACAACAACAACAACAACAACAACAACAACAACAACAACAACAACAACAACAACAACAACAACAACAACAACAACAACAACAACAACAACAACAACAACAACAACAACAACAACAACAACAACAACAACAACAACAACAACAACAACAACAACAACAACAACAACAACAACAACAACAACAACAACAACAACAACAACAACAACAACAACAACAACAACAACAACAACAACAACAACAACAACAACAACAACAACAACAACAACAACAACAACAACAACAACAACAACAACAACAACAACAACAACAACAACAACAACAACAACAACAACAACAACAACAACAACAACAACAACAACAACAACAACAACAACAACAACAACAACAACAACAACAACAACAACAACAACAACAACAACAACAACAACAACAACAACAACAACAACAACAACAACAACAACAACAACACGAACACGAACACGAACACGAACAGGAACAGGAACAGGAACAGGAACAAGAACAAGAACAAGAACAAGAACCAGAACCAGAACCAGAACCAGAACGAGAACGAGAACGAGAACGACAACCACAACGACAACGACAACGGCAACGGCAACGAGAACGACAACGACAACGACAAGCAACAACAAGCAGCAAAAAACAAAGAACAAACAAAAGGAACCACAACGACGACGCTGGACGAGGATGACGAGGACGACAAGGACAACGACAACGGCCACAACCACCATACTCAGGCCAGCGCTTTTTGGGGATGGCTTCGGTTCACCGAAGTCGTGCAGGTGCAGGTCATCCTCAGCTAGGCTGATGGATGTGGGGCCATAAGGTTTAGTTTGTGTTTTCATTTTCAGCTTGTTTTAAAGGGAAACCAAATGACACCACCGGGGTCCCGTGGGGTTCCTTTTGCTCTGGGGAGTAATCGGGATCCAGGATTGATGCCTCTAAAATCGAGCAACACTGGTTTTCCCCCCCCCCCCCAAAAAAAAAGAAAGGGATGCGCACGCGCACATTTCTGAGACAAAGTTCTGCGCCGAGTGCCGGGTGCCAAAACGACATACCGTATTACTGTCGAAGGGGACCCCAAAAACACACAGACCAAATGAACAAAGCATGTTTCATCCGAAACTCATCTGAGTCTCATAATCGGGAAATGAAAGGGACATTGCCTGTTCTGGAAGGTCCCCTATTTTGACCAACCCCCAGCTGCATCCGGAGAACATCGGACCGCGGGCCCGGTAGGCTCCGGGCACCATGGGGGTCTGCTCGGCAAAGGCCTGTTCAAGGATGACACTCCGTGCTTGCTCTTTCCATTCACCAGAAATTTAGTACCTCTGCCCCATACGCGCTTTTCAAGATTTGGTAAAAAGAGGTATTCCGTGGTCGATACCTTCTTTGTTAGACAGGGGCTCAGAGGTGCCCTTTTCACCTTAGTAAGAGAGGCAGAAGCAAAGCCACCATTTTGGGTCTCACCTTCACACATGCCCAAATCAACCAGCACAGCTTCAAGCAATAAGCAATAAATTGTTCCTCACAAGGGCCGGCAACTGCATAGAACCCGGAAACTAGCAAAACTTGGCATTCTGCATCCGCACTCCGAACTGGGGTTTAACGCCGGCCCTTGCCATGCATGACGTCATGTTTAACGGCGACATGCATGACGTCATGTATAACGGCGACTTGCGAACTTGGATGTGCAATTTTGAGGGCCCCTGTCGCTTGTCTGATGGTCCTGGATTGATGTCATCCTCCCTGAAAATAGAATCTGTGTGAGAGTTTTTGTTTAAGCACCACCGCCATTTTTGGAGTCTCGCCCCATTTTGCCACATGCGCACGCAGGGGTTCACGACCCCTCAGACCCCCCATTCCCATGAATAAGAGTCCCATTCTTAACATGCCAAGCCGGTCAAACCAGTTCGACCCTTCCAAATTCCAAGCCCATGGATGCCAGGTGCCACGGCCGAAATCCAAAAGCTTGAGGTGGCCCTGCGCGGTCAAGACCATGTTGTCGAACTGGCGAATCCGACTCGCCGACTCGCTCTCGACCGCAGCAAGGAGTGCAACATGCGGAACTTCCGGGGGAGATGGTGCTTTTGGTGTCCCTTACCAACCGGAAAAGTGAAGGCATCCGGTGTGTTGAAATAGGGATTCGGAACAAATGAAATTTGGCCTGCCCTGTAGTTTCCCGTCAATTGAAACACTCCCCAAAAAACTAGCGCCCTCAAAAAACAACAATTCACAAATGGCCAGGCAAGGCAAGGAAAGCCTCCGCAAGGGAAACCAGGACATATTTTAATTTACTGCCTCTTGATACGGAAACAAAGAGGAATCCCTGCCAAGAGAAAGATGGAGGCATTTTTGCCCATGGGCTGAGAACAAACAAACTACGCAACAAAACCACGAATCTCAGAGTTGAGACCTCAAAAATGGGTTGTCTCATAATTGTTAGGGACCCCACAGGGGTATTGGTCTTCTTTTGTTTCCCTTCGAAACCCTGCAACCCTCACTCTCCAGGAAAGATCGGGTAGGGGTGGGATTCTGTCCCTTGATGCAGGGGATCCCCATTTTTTGAAACAGCTAACATGGATTTGTTTTGTTTAATGGATACAGATCTCCTTAAATTTCCTCTTTGAACAGAACGAAAGGGAAATTGGCCCACAAGGTGTGTAAAACCAGCGAAAGGGGACATATAACGAACCCTGATTTGCCTGTCACTAACAAGTCAGCAGGAGGGGGTTGTGTGCTCACTTAGGCATTCGCAGAGCAGTCAGCGCGAGCCAAAATATGCACCTATCCAAAAGAATGTGAGCAATTATTGTGCCCCTCTGCTGCTGGTTCGCCATTAGCCCCCCTGGTTTGTGAACAAAAATTAGTGGGTGCGCCTCTGGTCGGGAAATCTGTTGGTCTTCCTGTTCCTGCGGGTGAAACTTAGTGGCTCCTTTCAACCTGTTTGTCGACGAGGGCTTTGTCACGGCTGTCACGGCTGCGAGTGGACGACGGGCGAACGGGACGACGGGCGAACGGGTCGGATGCCACGTAAAATCCAGCAACCCCAAAGCTGTCGGGTGTGAAGAAAACAGACCCATGGCAACTAGAGTATTCGGAGCTTAGGAATGCAACCAAGGCAACTTCGCACCCGTGCCTTGATATCGCGGTGGATGAAGCCGTGCTTATGCAGCACATCGAGCGCCTGCGAAGCGCCGCCCTTGATCAGTTGCCCTTCCCCATACACCGTGGGGCCCAATCAAACTTGGGTAGATGAAGGTTCGTAAGTAGTGAATAGTCCCAACGCAAAGAATTGAATGGCATTTGGTAGACCACTTGAGCACCAGGTTGTTGTCACTCTGGTACCGAAGTTACCCTTCACACATTTTCCCGTGCAAGGAAATCTATGGCAAGTGCCCGCGCTAAGCCCTTGGAGTAGGGAGGATGGGAATGTAGGAATTGGTCTCTAGTTGTGGCCGTGGTTGTTCTATGCCGCAGTTCTCCCTTAACCTCCAAACATCCCAGCATGTTTAGGCTGTGATTTGTCCACCTCTGACTAAAGGAGGTATTTACGATGGAAAACCTGCGTTTTCAAGGCTTGAACAGGTGGGTGTTTGGAGAGTGTGGGATTCTATTCCTCCCCTAACCTCCTTCATAGTTAATCCATGCACAGTTTATCCATGCTGTTGATAACAATAAAGATATTTCTGACATGTCATTGACAATTGAGGCACCTGTCCGGGAATCTGAATGCGTGTCGAAACTGGACACCCCTGCTAATGAGTCGGTTCCCTGTTGCGGGTGCACTGGTCCCCGGTCTATGACAAACACTCGCTCACAATTCAGGAGCCTCCTTTTGGTCCCCGTGCTTTTGGACGGAATGGTTCCACTGGAAACTGATTAGAATCAAACTAAAGCCAGGGTATCTATTGCCCCACCCCCCCTAGCCGCAAATGTTTGATTCCGGTCTTTTTGCAGCGAGCCATGGTGAACCTTTGATTGCAGCTTTAGTGAAGCATCCAAAGTTCACTTTATTATTGTTTTAAGTGTGTGAATTCTCCACATAAGCACACTACAAGCTGTACAGGTGCTCCAAAGTCGCCAGATTGTGGAACGAGACAAAGGAAGCACTGGCGCAAAACAGCACTCAAGGCCCAACCAGGGGACAAGGTCAGATGGTATTGCGCCCTGAAAAAGGTGAGGGGAATTGGGGGGCTGGGGCTTTGCGGCCTCTAGCAACTCCGCCATGTAGAAGCGCGTCTCGTCCTAGGCGAGCCGCCCGACTTGTGGCTGAAAGGGAAAATGAACCCAAAAGGGCAGAGGGATGCAAACAGCTTAGCCAAGTCTGGCCATGACCAGGTTCTTACCTAAGCGATTGCTAGGAGCGTCCTCGCGCCTTTTGGCGCCACTTCGGGGCCGCGCCACGTGAGGCCACCCGATCCGAGCGATCCGAGCGATCCGAGGGCCGTGCCATGGAGAAGCGGCGCATCACCTCGATCCATCTGAAGAGGTCGCCTCCCGGGAGAAACCTGGCGGCGTCTTTGCAGCCAATCGGCGCTCCGAGGTCCTCCAGTGGAGAAGATAGAATAAGGGTACCGTTTCTTTTTTCTGTAGTCTGTTTTAGTTGGGGAACCCTCCCCAAAAAAGGACAAATGGGCACTACTGGGAGACCTAGCCGATTTCTGGAAGCGCCGAAACATTTCAAACGCAAAACAGAAACAAGCCACAGAGGTCTGGGTTTTGAGCCAGGGCTTTTGACCCCTTGACGTCGAAACCTGCACTTTTAGGTCCATACATACTTGCGTCCAACAAAACAATCTGAAAAGGACCACCCTGTTTGGAGTTGCGAGATGTCGATGTGGAGATCCATGGGTTTGTCTCAAAATGGAAGCACCAGGTGGATGTTCGTTTAGATTCCCGTAGACAACAACCGCACAAATAGTAGCCTACTTCAAATTCCGTCTTGTGTAAGGGTATATTTTGAAGAACCGGGGTTGGCATCGTGAAGTTGGAAAATGGGATGTGCGTGGGTGTTCAAACCATTTAGTATAGCTCATCATGGTTCTAAGTTGCCCAGTTACCCAACTTAGATGGGTTACATTTCACTTCCTGAGTGGATGGGCCACAAAAAAGCACTCTTTGTTTGCCACCACGGAACTATCTTCCAAAACCGTTTCAAGACCCTTAATTGGGTAAGTGAGCTTCTCCCGAATGTTGGGGATGGGACTCAAAGGAACTGGCCCCACTGCAAAAAGTCGCACAATTGGGCTGGCGCTGAGCGATTCAACCCTAGTTTCAACCGTGCTTGTTCGAGCAACCCCCTTTGTCACTGGCCACGATCTCCTCGATTACGGCTTCCCTTTCAAGGGCACTATGGGCCCCGACCAAACATTCACGAAAAAACACATGGGTATGTGTTTTTTTGACGTGGCCCTGCCGGGAGGTTGGTATAAGGGGTATGAATCGCGGGTATGGTTCGGGGTATGGCTCGGGGGTATGATTCGGGGTATGGCTCGCGCGCCTCTGAACTCTTGCTTTGTGGCTTTGGACACTGCAAAGCTCCCGTGCGCTGGCAACTGGATAGCCGTGAGACTTTGGACCGCTTAGTTGCTACAAGCCAGCCTGGGGCGCTTGTGAGTGACCTGAACTAGACAGCTGCCACTCTGCGTGAGTGGGTTAGCGAAAGCTGCTGCGCTACATAAAAAGGCGCAGAGCCACTGCCTGAGGCGAACGTCATTGCCACCTCCACTTGGAGTTCAAGCGACCCGCGTGCTCACAGACCCAAGCAAGCGTTGCTTAAGGGGAAGCGCCGCTGCCCAGTCAGGCCCGCCACCCGCACCAGTCACGAACCAGCGTAAGGGCAAGACAGCGTGACATCCTCAAATGGCAGCCGCGCAGAGGCTAGTGGGCCTCTCACAGGTGGTGCACCGTGTCGCGCTTGATGCATCGCAGTAAGCCTCAAACCCACCTTCTGGCGAACTTCTGCGAAAAGCGAGCTGGTTCCTGCAGTGCTTCTCTTTGAGTTTTGTGTCTTCTGAGGATTTGGGCGGCATAGCTTCGCTAGTACTGCCCAGAGCGCAAGAGGCTCTTGGCTGCAAATGGCAGCAGAAGGGTATGAATCGGGGTATGAATTGGGTATGAATCGGGGGTATGAATCGGGGGACATATTTGTTTTTCGACCGGAAAGACACCAAGAGTACCCCAGGAGCACAAAGACAGCTTGTGTTTCACTGCGACAGTGGCCCAGGACAGACAGCTGTTTCCACCGCGTCGGACGGGCTGCAGGAAGCAAGCTCCAAGTTTCAAGCTCAGCAGCGGCACCCCCGGCCACAGCGCCCTGCAAGTCCCAGAGTCTTACGTCAAGCTGCACCCCCCCGCCACAGCACCACGGATGCTACAGACAACTCTAGTACCAGGACATCCGCAGGATTGCTCTATAACTCCATCCATTGGCACTTTCCATTGAAAATAGCAAGCCAAGACCGAGGTGGGTAACCGAGTGTGAAGGAACACCGCTTGAGCCAAAATGGCCCCCGAGTGTGTGAGTGGACATGTCAACTGTACTTGGCCCCATGACATCAGAGCCCAACCATGCAAGCATCGCAGGCTCAAGAATAGATCCAGGAACCACAAGTGAACCAGGCACGACCTCGCAGTCCCTACCCCCTGGCATCGGTCCACATGTCAAGCTCTCTAACACTGTTTCTTGACAAGACCCCCTTCTTCACTTGAAGTTAATGCCACAGTTCTTGCAAGTTTTTTTTGCGTTTTTTAAGGGGTATGACTCGGGGTATGGTTCGGGGGTATGGTTCGGGGTATGATTCGGGGGTATGGCTCGCCCAAGCCCCACCTCCCACGAAGACTCAAGAACTGACACGGTAAAAAAACACAGACCCACATACTTGAATGCCGTTGTGGACTTGGTCAGTCTGTTGAAAGCAACGTTCCAATTCGGTCGGCTGGGCTCCATGAGCATGTAGATGTGGTCCGCATCTTGGAAGGTGGCGCTTAGCTCCACGAACCACCTGAAGTGGCCAGAGGTGCATTGACATTGTCCCAGCAAAACCGGGTCTTCTTCACTAAAACGGTCTGCAACTCGGCAACTGGGATTTGGCAACTCAATGCAAGTTCGTGCGGCAAACATGGGGAATAGTTGCTGGAGCACAGTTGCTGAATTGGTAGAAGCTGGTTGCTAAATCGCAGTTGCTGAATCAGTCGCACATGCTTGCTGAATTGCAGCTGCTGCATCTCATTTGTCGAGTCCCGCTGGAAAACTCCTACTTGGAAACGTGGAGACAGTGTTGCCTGGATGCTCTTGAGCGGATGCTTACCACTTGGCAGGTGTGGGACAAAGCTGGTGCTCTTTGGCGGGGGCTCTTGGTTACCATCTGTCAGGCATGGATACAGAGCTACGGGTGCTTTTGAGCTTGTTCGATATGTTTACTTTACTTGAAATCCGCCGACCCCTTTGCAAAAGCCAAGTTAGTCTCTGCAAAGGGGCGAGGCGTGTTCTAAGTGGTGGTTAGGGGAGTCTGAGGGGGGGAGGGGGGGCCCCACGGCGGATTTTTGACACGCCTAACCTCTA